AATACCATGCAACCTCAGTTACTACACACAAGCTACAGGAACCAAGCATAAACTTTTTTTTCTTTCTTGTATCATGTAATCAGAATCAAAAGAAACTTTTTCCAAAATGATTTTCTTCACTTTCCTAACTATACCGAAAGTTATTGCAACTAAAACAAACCAATATAAAATTCAATGAGATCGAGTAAGATAGATATACAAAACTTGAGTTCAATCCCAATTTTTTAGTGTTATTCCCTATATTTTTGACCTCATTGATTATTTTCTTTAAATATAATTTGACCTCATTGCGGATAATATGGTAATGGTGTCAATTTTTTCCGTTTACAAAAATACAATACGAACAAAAATAAGACACAAAACGAACTTAAAAATGGTACAATCTATTAACAAAACCAATAACCTTAAGTTTGTATGGTAAGAAGATAACGAGTATTTTTTTCTTTCATATCTTGCTCAAGCATTGTTGTTTGAATTGTTTTACTCTAACACAACTTTTTATTAATACGGATCAAAATTACACAAGGACACCCTTAGGATATGCTACTTAATCCATTGAATAGATTTCTTCAAAAAGAATATGCCAATATCAAATAAAAGACAGACTATAAGTCCATAACATTTAAATAAAAATGTCCAAGAAGCAAGGAAGAATTCACCTGTTCTGGGGTTTCAATCTTATCCCTGCCACTACAGATCATATCAAAGCCACCCTGTTAACGCAATGTGCCCCCAAATGTCATGTATAAGTGCCTAAAAAACTTAATAAACACTACCAAATGAACTTTTATGCAATTTGATTTAGCAGCTGCATTGAAATTTGAAACTTTTGTTAGTAACAACAATCGAAAAAATTAACTCACCTGATTTCTATAAGGATAGATAAATTCCGTTGTTAACTCCACATATTTACAGTTCATGATCCCCGCCGGACCTCCCCTGAACCCATACAACGTGCTTCCCTTTGTTCGATCCTGCAAATAATCTACAAACAAAACAAAAATTCACTCACAAGCAATAGCAGAGCATTCCAAAAATCAATTTTAACACTCCAACAGAGAGAGAGAGAGAGAGAGAGAGAGAAGAGGGGCCCTCCTAACCGAAAATTCCAGAAATGACATTGTGACCACCAGGAGCCTGGCCTCCCGAAAGCACAACTCCGATCTTCAAACTTCGATCCGACGCCAAATTGGCTGAGTCTCCGGGAACCAGCATTGCCGAGGGCTGTCCGAACACATTCGGAAAAAGCTTTGCAATCTCGTCTGTAACATTTCCACATACAATTTTCAAACTTATATAGTCAACAGCCTAATACATTCATACTCATACAATTATCTACGTGTATAACTGCTAGATCGTAGAAGTTTTGTGCAGTAAAGACTAGAAAACCTGGATTTCCAGCGGCAGAACTCGGAGGTCCATCCACAACGTTGAAGGAGTTCTTGAGAACGGAAGGGAGAGGAAGGGCGACTTTGATACGGTTTGTTTGGACTTCACTGTACACAGAGGCTAGCCGGCCTGGTGTTGCACCAGAAGATGATTTCCCGGAGGTGGCGGAACCATTGGAGACGGCAGAGGAAGACATGTTTGATTATGCGAAGAGGTAGTGAATCTAAGAGAGAGAAGGGCAAGAGACGTGGAGTGGAACAGAGTAATGAGAGTATGAGGGAGAGGGAGAGGGAGAGGGAGAGGGAGTATGGATTATGGAATGGTATTCGTGGTGCTGTCAGCTGTGTGAGAGAAAGAGAAGCTTTAAAGACGGAGAGTTCGTTAAGCAAAGGGTGAAAACGTCTTTGTGGTTTCAGTCCGAATGGGAAGGAATCACACTGTTCGGTGCACTACTTGAAACGGTTCACATTGGTGAGGTATCATTCGTTAAGTCGTTGTATTAATAAGATCAGCAATTCTGAATATGAACTCATCAAACATTCTAACTTGTTTTTTATCTGACGGTTCTAATAAAACTACATTATTATAAGTATACGACAACCGTGAATCATAGAACAAACATCAACATTAATCAATGACGGGTCAAGCCAAGAGCCCAATTTATGTTATATGTTTAATTTAAATAAAAATTTAACTAAACAATATCAAATGGGTTTAATTCCAATAGAGTTTCACTCCCAATTAAACTCGTTAGGATTCGAGTGGTTACATCATCACAAAAGTAGGTAAGGTCATCCCAAGAACCTCATGCAAACTACATTAGACCAAATCATTTTAGAGTAAGCGTCATCTCATGAGACTCATCTTAATCACCTTGAAGTAAGAGTCATTTAAGAACTTTATCTAAATCGTCTTGGAATAAGGGTCATTCAAAAGTTTTATCCACGCCGTCTTGAAATAAGTCAATCACCCCATCATTCTTTGACTGGATCTTATGGGGAGCGTCGTAATTGTCTCATCCGTTGAGAAAATGACGTCAGCTCCACCAAATTAATTTTTTAGTTACTAACCAGTCGCCTCAATCTGTTAGGAGGCGACTATAAATTGTAAACCCCGCCAATATTTGAGAGGCATCACACACAATCGAGCACATGTACTATCACTCTTCTTTGTCTCTCGTAGCTTGTATCTCCCTATTTTCTCTACACTCATCAAAATAATAAAATATCCAAGCAACTTTAGCCCTTCATAGTGGACGTATGTCAAATTGATTGAACTACTCTACATCTTTGTCTTATTGTGTTGTTTTCTTATTTTTTAATTATTACATTAATTACTAATCACTTGACAAGTAGTGCATAATACTAATTTGTGCATCATCAACTAAAAGTGTAGATTTTAGATACAGTGATCCATGATTTTAATATATAATATTTGGTATGAAAAATAATTCATGTCACATGTGTGCATTAATTAGTGTGTTAAAAGGTGAATTTTGAGAAAATAGTTCACTATACCATCTAAACTCTTGTGTTAGTCGAAGATTTGAGATTCAGGATTTATAGGGAAAATGAAGAGCAACCTGCTCCCAGACCATAGTAAATAGTTGATTAAAACTAACAAATGGAAGTTTTATGAAACTCATGGGAAGGGTGGGAAAGTGAAATATTGGATTTGAAGGCAGAAAAATTATTTTACAATAATAGACATTTTAGTAAATTCAGTAATATAATTGGATGGGATTATTCCAAGTTTTCAACCTTTTAAATCTCATTTTCTACTCCATTTAATCATATTATTTTAAATTACTAAATTTACTCCACCTATTCCCACTAACTCAGTTTATATTTATTAATTAAAAATTAAATTCATTCAATTTTATTTCAAGTTACTATATAGGTAATGATTATAATTTTATTTTGATGTATTATTTAATACGAAAAAATTTTAGAAGTAGAACAAAAAATTAATAATTATTTTTAAAAATATTAGTAAAATTATTCTAAAATATCTTAAAATACCTCAAAATATTCTAAAAATATTGGTAAAATTATATTAAAATATCTTAAAACATTTCGAAATAATATAGATCACCTCGGAATATTGAAATTTTGTTTTAATTACTATTTTTGTTTCGATTTGTTTAACATATATTTAATAATATAATTTAATGAATATAAATGGGATAAATTTAATAACTAATGGAATGCATATATATAACATTAATTTAATAATTTGGGGTGAAAAATAGGGTGGAAAAAGAAATTTGAACCCATGTACAAATATTTGGGGCTGAATCCAATTCAGATTCCGAACCCCGAACCCCCCCCCACAACAAAAAGAATAACTATCCAAACGGGACCTAAAATCCCAAACGCTTCCCCCTGTTCGAGTCTCAGGACTCTCGCCTCTTTCTGCTTCTCTCAGTAGATCGATCCCTGGCGCTTCCTTCTCTTCGAGTCTCAGAGACTCTCGCCGCCTCCTCTTCGAAGCCACGAGCATCCCAGTTTCTCTCTCTCTCTCTCTCTGTGAGTCTTAATTCCTTTTGTTTTTCTGAAATTAAAATCATAAGATGAGAGTTTCAGCAGTTTTTTTGTTAAGTTAAATTATATTGAGATTTAATCTTTGATCTGTATCTTTTTAGTGAACCCTAAAATTAGGGCCCTTTTTAATTTGTAGGGCTTAAGCCCATGCTTTTTTGACTCTACTGTTGAGCCGGCCATGGTTTTGACGGTACTAAGCTTGGTAGAACAACATGTCTTGCATTGTCCTTCGCTGTTAAGGTTTTGTTTCTTTTAACATCCAAACTATTTCACGAGTATATGAGATTTTAGCTCATTCTTCCTTTTAAGTTATTCATTTATTTTTCTCAAACAATTTGTATGCTTTTCTGTATGATTTAGTGTATTGACTTTTAAATTTTTATAGCTTGGTGTGCCATTTGAAGTGGTGGGTTGAGAAGGGATACATATCCTGTTTTTTTTTTTTTTTACCATGAAATTTGCTGATTCTTGATCACACACACACACATATATATAGATGATTACTTGCTTATACTTACTATTGACATTTGATGATTTTCAAGCATTGTCCTTGTTAACATATTGATTAACTAGTAATAACCCGTGTTGAAGACACTATATAATATCAAAAATTGAATTGGTCTTGTAATATTTGTATTTTAAATAATAATTTGGTTTTTTTAATTATACAATTTAAAATTAAAATAAAGAGAAAGGTAGGTGTGGATTGATGAGATTATTTGATATTAGAGAGTGTGTTAATTGATTTGTGATGGTCATGCAGAAGTTGATATTTTTAGGTGAAAAAAAAATTTGAGATAAATTTTATATCTTTGGATCGAAGTTATGAAGATTGAATTAATCTTTACCGTTCTTGTGTCTTTATAAGTGGAGAATTCAACTTGCTAGATGTAATATTAAACAGATTTGCATATGTACTCGATTTATATGGATTTGGTTTCCCTTTCTTAGACTACTGTTTCTGCTAAATGGTAATTTTGTTGCAACTTTTGTAACTCTTAAGCATTTGGGAAGGGTTATTGCTTAACCATTTTACTGCAAATTGTAGGTGCAAAAGAAAGAAACAATATGAATGCTTTCAAGGCTTACAAAGCATGTGTCCCAGTTGCATGGAGCCACAACTTATACATAACTTTGGTTAGGGGCATTCCGGGGACCAGGAGGCTTCACAGGCGTACCTTGGAGGCATTGCGTCTAACCAAGTGTAATCGAACAGTTATGCGATGGAACACTCCTACTGTCAGAGGGATGCTTCAACAGGTTCTACAATAGGCTTGCAGTCCCTTGCATTAGATTATTTCACATAGTTTACTAAAGTTATTTTCAAAATTTCACAGGTGAAGAGATTGGTTGTGATCGAGACAGAAGAGATGTATAAAGCCCGTAAACAAAAGGAAGCAAGCCACCGAGCTCTACGTCCTCCATTGGTTGTGAACCATCTCCCTGCCCCTGCAAGTGATTCTTCTCAACAACCTGTTTAATTTTTGTGAGGTTACCTTCTCATATACTGGTATGGAGTTCTATTCAAATATAATGTTTACCTTATTTTTTATTTCTGAGAGTATTTCCAGTACATTGAACTGTAACCAGTCAATCTTCTCTTGTTTAAGCATTGTATCAATGAAAACACTATCAGCTCTTTGCTGTGGAAAGTCAATGCATGTGCTGTATCTGGCCAGTCTGAACGTTTTTCCTGAAGACGATAGTGAATTTAAACTAAGTTCACGATTATTACTATAAAAATAGATAGAGAAGCAGAATATTACGATTAGTATTATGAGCAAGGTGAGAATACATATTGGACCAGAACACAGAACCTCCCCTCCAAATTACTAACTTATAATACAATTTTCTGTATTTTAGTCTATAACTAAGCTAGTAAGAAGCAATTAAGGGTGAATTTTGATTTGGTGTACTCTTTTGGTGATCCAAGTGAGCTTCGCAAAAATTCTGATAAGTGGTGATGTACAGGTCTCTGTCTGCATGTAATTCCCCCTTTGATCACTGAAATTATCATGACAATGAGGCCCCTCCAACCAGGCCCCAACTAGAAGATTAGGATTCGATTGTAGGCCGCTGTACCAATTATCATATCCTTGGGTGCACCTGTGAAGCCTTTGTATGGACACCATTGAAGCCCCTCTGTGATGCACCCTTGTGGGGTACTTAGGACCATAACCCACTAGATTGCTCAGGTTCGTTGTGTTAGAGCGTAGAATATAACCCGCTTATGAATTTGGCAAAGGCGTGGATTTCGTAAGGGACTACAATTCCTACATGGCAGCTGAGCTCTTCTGCTTTGGATCATGTAGGAAGTCGAGTTCAAAGTCCGATTACACTCGGTATAATTTTCACACTAATCAACTTGATGTGTAATTCAAATGTAATAGAGCATTTTATTAAATTGTAATGCATATAGTAGTATGTGTGAAGTATTCATATATTTCATTTATCATCAGATATGTATGTATTCTCAAGTATGCGGCGAGTATTGTATGACCGTAACAGATCATCTGGACTTCATAGCTGTTGTTGAAACATATTGTATGTTGTTCCATTGGCGGACCTTATACTAGGCTCAAGAAAGAGAGTCCCGTACTAGAGTAAATATTGGGGGTAAGGGTCTTACCCTTTTTTATACCCAAATTTAAAAACAGTCTAAATACTTTTCTAACACTAGACTCATATTCATATCAAATGAAGAATTACATAAATTGAAGCCTTTATGATGAAAACTAAAATCAAGATCATACAACACAACTTACTCTTGCATCTCACTAGTATTGTTTAGTGACGATGCCTATCAAAAAAACATTAAAAGCAACTGAATGATTTAACCCAAGTATGAAAATATAATTCTCATGACCAATTTATAATATGTGAAAAAATTGCCCAAAAAGCAATTATAGTTGTGGAACATAACTTGAGACAGTTTGAGATAACGTTATTCCTTAGATGAGATTTTATTTTATCATGAAACGATTTCAATCACTTTTTGCCTTTGAATTCAAAATTCGTTATATTTTATTATATAGAGAATAATGCATAATGACTTTTATCTTATGCTCAAGAAATTTAAGATATCTAATAATTGAAGTAAAAATATGTCAAAGTTTAAATTTTAAATGAGAAAGAATAGGACGCAAAGGACCATGATACCCTAACCATGATTTGATAACATGGATAAAGTTAACCACATTTTCTGTTTTGCATAACAAAATCATTTGTTTTTTTTACCACTTGCAATTGGAGGACTATGAGAAGATGTGCTTGCGACTTCGAGATTAAGCCCAACTATTTAGTCCAATGAGACAAGTTCAAGGTCCAAAGAGATAATAATCGGATGCTTTTCTGTCCAAAAAGATATAATTTTCATTTGTGAGGTAATAAATTCAATCCCAAAATGCAATAGAGACAAAAAAAAAAAAAATAAGGACCAACCTCACCATGTATGAAGTTAGGTCTGACAATCGTGTTGGATGGAATGGTTTTGTATTGGGTAGAATAAATTTATATCAAAAAACTCTTAATTTACATCTCTTTCGTTTATATAAAAAAGTTCAACTATCACACATGTAGACAATTGGTTTATTAGAATTGTTACTCTACATAACTTGTGTATCACCCTCCTAAATAAGAAAATTGATTAGAATATTTCGACTCCATATAAAAAAAATATCAACTCGTCACAAGTTATACATGGTTAACCTATTTATTATAATAATAAATTATGACTGAACAAAAATATACATTAAATCACTATCAAATTCGAATGAGTTTGAGAGATTGGAAACATGAGATTAGGTAGAAGTTGAGGAATCAATTTTTTTTTTTTTTAAAAAAATTTATAGTGCTGCTGTTAACAAGTTAAAATAAATTTATGAGTTAAACACGAAATCGATTCATTTATTTTACAGGTTTATTGAGTTAATCCATTAACCACCTAAACTCATTAAGACTATTCTCAAATTCGGGTTCATGAGTCGGGTCAAATTATCAAAAGCATCTATATTTAAGACAAAATAATATTATTTGTATCTAATTTGAAAAATCAACTTTGCTATTTTACCCAACTCAACTTTGCTCATCAATCCACTTCTCTTCTATTCATCCAGCAGAACTTGACACTGTTTATACAGCTAGGATAATAGTTTAACTTAAGCTCAACTCGACTCAAACCACTCAACTCAGCACTGGAGTTAAAGCATAGACAGCTAGGCTAATGGCCAAACTGCTTTGACCAGTGTTTTCGCTTGAGCACAACCAATGCACCAGTTTGTTGGATTTTTGGGTAAACCAATCGAGGCAAACCGGTACAACATTGGTCACTGATGAAAAGATCTCTATAAAGAGACAATTAGTTGACTAAACAGACAAGTTTAATTCAATTTTTGTTATTCAATTTTTTCTTAAGTATTTTTTTTTTTTTGAACATGACATTTATAATAAGTTCAGTGACAACATTTTAAGATGAAAAATATTATCTTTAAAACAAAAATTTAATAAAAAAAATTTGAAAAGCATAATATTACTTTTATGCTCCGTTTAATATGATAGAAAAATAGAAGGATGAAAAATTAAAAAGATGAAAATTTGAAAAATAAATAAAACATCATGTTTGTTGAGGAAAGAAAATAGAAATGATGAAAAAATGGATGAATTAACTTTCCTTCCATCTCACCAAAATAAATCCCTCCAAAATCAAAAAAAAATAAATATAAAATTAATTATTTGTATTGAAATATATCTTATTTTGTCTATATATCTTTTAATATATATATATATATATTAAAAAATTTTAAAAGTAAAATATAAAATATTAGTGTTAAATTTTTTATTCAAAATTTATGTGGATCAACACGAATACGAACAGCACACGAAAATAAACAAGTCAACTTGTAACTCGACACAACACAATTAGTTAAATGAGTTGAATAAAATTTGATTAATGTTCAACACAAATCCAAAATAAATCAACACAAATCTAACACAATTTAATTGTCACTCATAATTTTAACCAACACAAAAAAAAAAAAATTATTTTTATTTTTCATCAATCTAACCAAACCCAAAAATATATATATATATATATCATTTTTATTTTCTTTTATTGAAGGATAAAAAATATATTTCTCGTCTTTTTCATCCTTCACAGCAAATATAGTTCTCCATTTCTTGCCAATCGTCCTCAATATGTCCGTTTTTTCCACCCACATAGGAAACAGCCTATAAATTTCAAATGAACAAAAACTGCTGGTATGCAAGTGACACATCATTTTACAGTTTTGTTTTACCTCAATTTTATTTTTAAATGCAACTCCTAAAAATATTCTATAGGATTTGACACTGTACTTACAACTCTCCACCAATTAGCTAGTTGAATTACTTTCAAGACACTTCATTAGAAGTTTGATTCAACAACATGGGTATTTTCAGCACCATGGTCAGAGTTATTCGGGTTTTCATTACTAGGTTTAGAGGAGCTTCTTCTTCTACAGAGTAGGATCGGTCGGAATGGGAAACACCGGATGCTCGACCCAATTAGGGGCATCATCAAAGCTTACCCTCGATTTTAAAGAAAATAAAAATAAAGATTGAATTAAACTCAATAGCATCTATCCTTCTGTGCGGGCCTGATCCTGCACGATATATATAAAATATTGGGAACAGATCTCTCCCCTGGTGAACTTTGGGTGAACCGATTGAGTGGCTAAGCACACTGCTCGAAACAGCTTACGATCCTGGGAAAGGAGGAACGATCCTGTACGTGCGAAAGGTATTTCCTGGGACAAAAGAGAGCAAATTAGAAGGGCGCCGGAGTGTTTTCCGGCGTATCCCCTCCGACGGTCTAGTCAGTCTTTGAATGAGAGAGAGAGGAAGGAAAAAACACTGAGAAGGATATTTTGTAGTAGAGAGTTTGTGATTGCCCTCCCGCTTTGTCTTTTGGGAGGGGTATTTATACCTTAGAAGATCATGATTGCTGTCAGTGTGGTCAGTAGGTGATCATCAGGCACAGGTAGCGTGTGTAATCATTTGATGAGGAATGTCTTCTCTAATTGACTGCTCGGGGTCCCGAGCAATTAATGGTGAGTTGTCGGGACGCCGACGGTACAATATGCTCCTTTCGGGAAGGATGCAATAAATGCTCTGTAATAGGAGCATTTATTGCCTTTCATATCCGAACCTTACCGCATTAAATGCGGTCTCGTCAACAGAAGGGTGTAATTAATTGTTTGCTTTCCCAAGTCGCGTGCCAGCAGCGGCATGCGGTTTGTCTGCTTCGGATGTGACATTATTCGCCACACGTCCATCCCTTATTGGCTGTTACGTCGGTATTCCAGCACGTTCTGACATTACTTGTGTAAGAAGAGCTCATGATGACTAGTCCATACTGGCATAGGCTGATGTCCAGTTTTGTCAGTAGCTTTTTCCGGGAGTAGGGGAAGCGTCCAGGATGGAGTGACCCTCGGTGCCGAGGAAA